ACCAATACTACGTTTCGTCGCATATCTCACGGGCCTTCCTTTAGTTGAATATTGAACTTCTGTTATTGTTTGGGTCGTCCGCAGCAGGTGTTCCCTTCTCCATTTCGAACATAAGGCCTATTTTACCACACGTGTCTCCTGGAAGTTTTGGACCGATCATCGCGTACACAGTAAGCCAAACCCACACTTCTAATGAGAGGGATAACATTGTAAACTGGGAGCTTTAAATTCTCAAATTTTGTGTTTATTTGATTAACGCGTTTTATTAGCTTGATCTTAAATATACGATTACTGTGTACGCCAGCATTTCAAATTCTTCTCCTTACATCGTTGAATATACATACCTCATACGTCAGGTAAATCGCATGAACTCGTTAGAGGAGAAATCAGCATAAAGAGGAATTGAGCACTGGCAAATTGCAGTCGACACCGAGCTGCAAATGCGAGCGGAGGAGTACTGTTAGGTTCAAATGTCGTATCCGCCATGATTTTTGGTTCTGAACGATGGGGTGCCACCAAAGTTGAGGAGAACAAATTGGCGGTCATGCAAAAGCAATGGAGCGAAGAATGTGCAAGGTCTCCCTTGGGAATCACGTTCTCAGTGCACAAATTACGTAACGAACTGGATCAACAGACCGGATTTCTGTTTTCCACAACACCACAAGGTGGTAGATCGGTCATGTGACTCGCCGGAGAGACAACTAGTAGACATCAATAATTGCAAACTGCGTTCAGCTGAACCACAAACGGTGGAGTGGATGGTTAAAGAATACGCTGAGATGATTTAATCGTCATATTATTTAGCCTATGGTGGAAGCAGAAAACGGAGAACAGAGAACTTTGAAGAAACATCGACGTCTGTTCATGATGTACGCAAAACGGTGTGGATAACTCATAACGGATGGCATTACCTTTGGTCGACATGCCAGAAAGTGGCATCAGTTACGTCGGGGCTACTTTGCTACTCTGCGAATTGTGATACGGGAAAAGATGTCAGCTTCATACACTGGACGAGGCAGGTTCTTGCCGGAAAATCATGAAAACCTTTCGTAATAATTTATTCCCTTTACCAGTTTTGAATGAGACCAATTTTGTGGCATGGTCGAATGGTGGCTACTTTTTGCTTCTGCCCTTGTCTTTTTGCCCTTGCCCTTTTGGCCTTTGCCGTCTCCTTGGTTAAGAACCTGATTTTGATATCCCCTATCATTCTGCGTAATCATCTTCTAACGCAGACTGCTCTGCTATGTAGCTGTGGATACTTTCTTTTTTCTCGAGAATTAATTATCGTTGATCTGCTGGTTGCACTTCCGGTGCCAGGTGCGCCGAGAAAAAGATTCCACTGTAGCGTGGCGGCACTTTGATTTTCCTCAATGCAGAGGTGACCGTTTCCCGTCGTTTCATGGACGCGTTCGGTTTCCTCTCTCATGGACCTACGATTTCTGCCGTCTTTCGGAGACGAGCGCCTTCCAGTTGATTGGTCCACTCTTCCGGTCAATATTCGAGAGGGGCGTCAGACTGTCTTTGCCTAATTGCAGCCGGTCATAGCTGACAGTTGCCGTATAGGCAGCGAACGATGGACGTATCAGATATTAGACGCTACCATTGGCGAATGATGGACGGATTTAACATTTTCGCAGGAGCATAGGCGAGGAAAAAACTATTTTCGACAAACCGATATGCTAATTTAAGGCAGGTGATGAGAATCAACTCAGGACTACAACTGATTTGCAGCATATCCGTCAGCACTAAACCGATTGGCAAAAAAATATGAAGGTCTGTTGAACTGTTAGTATTCTATAAAGTTATAAGACCAGTTATATAATTTTAGCACCTTTGCTTTCATTAAGTTAATGTAAACGCTGATCTCCAATCATCAGCGAGGAGTGACTAATCTCCTTAAAAGGCAGAATGGAGAGTAGCCATGCAGCAAGCACAGCCTGAATTCGATTATTTCCCTCCCATTGACTTATCAGAGTGATAATCATGAAGGATAAAAAGAGACTGACCCTGATTGGGGCTCGATCCCAGGATCTCTCGGTTTACCGACGTAGTATTCACGATTCTGAGGCAACGTGTGGTAAATACATTGCTTACGCAAATTCATGGTGAACATTATAATTGCTCGTCGGTGAGTCGAACTGAAGTTTGAGCTCGAAGCTGGTTTTTAAATCTTTGTGTTACCATGCCACAGGTGTGGTAGCATTGTCGTCCACTTTTGTCTTTTCAGCACTGATTGACGCAAAGAGGAGGGCTTAATGAAACAATGTATGCATAAAGCACGAACAACTACATGAAATTAATAGGCGTGGCATATATAAGAAACGGTATTTGCGTAGAGAAAGGACCCAAAAATAAAGTCAAAATCGCTATTTGAAAAGTGACGACTTCGAAAAAATGCATTTTAACAGAAGATCACACGACATTGTAAATTATGCAAGAACTCGTCCAAAATTTGCTCTATCTTGCAAATAGTCGAGAAACGAGTCTCAAGCCATTCACTTACAGGGACAGTATGGTGCTCTGCTGTTGTCAAGCCAGGAGGGGTCAGAGACATGGGTATGCCATATAATACGAAATGTTCCTCGACGTGCCAAACCTGAGCTCCGTTGTCCCTTATGTTATTCGTGCTTAGTATCTTGCTTCAATTTGTTCTGCATGCAGTTTCAGATAGCAGGTTGATCTGTTGTGATTTGTGATCTGCCATTTCTTGTCATATAGGCAATTTGTAAACATTTGGTATTATTCAGCATCATATTGATTTGGTTGGATAGAATATTCTTGACATCACAGAGGTAGATTAGTCCCACTGGGTCAGTAAACGGAGTCGGCAAGTTCAAAAATAATGTATATCCAAAATATGTCTTTAATTGGCTTACCGGCTTCTAAATTCAGTATGAATTGAAATAACCTTATTTCTACATGTGCAAACCCATCGCTGTCATTTCTATCATGCTTTGTAAACGAACATGAACGTGAAATTTACGATGCAGAACAATACCAGATCTTCTCAAGAGGAAGAATACGTCCTTATACGAACGCACATTAGAAACGTTTTTGTTTGGAAATGCAGATTTTGAGAAATCTATTAAAATAATGTGATTTATAAATATTGAGTTTGATGTTGAGGAAGCACCTTCATCGCAGACAAAGAAAATTTGAAAATTTTGACTTTAAACGGGTATGTTTTAACAACATGCCGTGGATCTGATTGTGTCAGTCTGTAAGTAGTACAAACGACTTGTAGAAATCGAATTTTATAACGCGCTAGCTACCCTATTGTTGGTATGTGTCCGACATCGAGCATCAGAAATCTGAGATTTCAAACCTAAAAATTTTATTAACCACTGGTTTCATTGAGCAAAAATTCGTTGTTGCCGTGCAACAGGCTGAAAAACAAACAGCAAGTCTGTGACCAGCGGTGATCAGGAATAGAACGGGGTTCTGGTAGCTAAAAGAAATTCGTTTAGAGGTACAACCGTGATGTTTGATGCGAAGCTGTTAGAGAT